AATTTCTTTTGTGCATTTGTCATTCTCATTTATTTTCATTTTATTTAAATTTTAGTCATTTTCTTATGTGCATTTGTCATTCTCATTTATTTTCATTTTATTTGAATTTTAATTAATTTATTTTGTTCATTTGTCATTCTCATTCTCATTTATTTGTATTTTATTTAAATTTGAGTAATTTCTTATGTGCATTTGTCATTCTCATTTATTTTTATTTTATTTAAATTTTAGTAAATTTCTTTTGTGCATTTGTCATTTTTATTTATTTTCATTTTATTTAAATTTTAGTAATTTTCTTATATGCATTTGTCATTCTCATTTATTTTTATTTTTATTTAAATTTTAGTAAATTTCTTATGTGCATTTGTCATTCTAATTTATTTGTATTTTATTTAAATTTTAGTCATTTTCTTATGTGCATTTGTCATTCTCATTTATTTTCATTTTATTAATTTTAGTAAATTTCTTTTGTGCATTTGTCATTTTTATTTATTTTCATTTTATTTAAATTTTAGTAATTTTCTTATGTGCATTTGTCATTCTCATTTATTTTCATTTTATTAATTTTAGTAAATTTCTTTTGTGCATTTGTCATTTTTATTTATTTTCATTTTATTTAAATTTTAGTAATTTTCTTATGTGCATTTGTCATTCTCATTTATTTTCATTTTATTAATTTTAGTAAATTTCTTTTGTGCATTTGTCATTTTTATTTATTTTCATTTTATTTAAATTTTAGTAATTTTCTTATGTGCATTTGTCATTCTCATTTATTTTCATTTTATTAATTTTAGTAAATTTCTTTTGTGCATTTGTCATTTTTATTTATTTTCATTTTATTTAAATTTTAGTAATTTTCTTATGTGCATTTGTCATTCTCATTTATTTTCATTTTATTAATTTTAGTAAATTTCTTTTGTGCATTTGTCATTTTTATTTATTTTCATTTTATTTAAATTTTAGTAATTTTCTTATGTGCATTTGTCATTCTCATTTATTTTCATTTTATTAATTTTAGTAAATTTCTTTTGTGCATTTGTCATTTTTATTTATTTTCATTTTATTTAAATTTTAGTAATTTTCTTATGTGCATTTGTCATTCTCATTTATTTTCATTTTATTAATTTTAGTAAATTTCTTTTGTGCATTTGTCATTTTTATTTATTTTCATTTTATTTAAATTTTAGTAATTTTCTTATGTGCATTTGTCATTCTCATTTATTTTCATTTTATTAATTTTAGTAAATTTCTTTTGTGCATTTGTCATTTTTATTTATTTTCATTTTATTTAAATTTTAGTAATTTTCTTATGTGCATTTGTCATTCTCATTTATTTTCATTTTATTAATTTTAGTAAATTTCTTTTGTGCATTTGTCATTTTTATTTATTTTCATTTTATTTAAATTTTAGTAATTTTCTTATGTGCATTTGTCATTCTCATTTATTTTCATTTTATTAATTTTAGTAAATTTCTTTTGTGCATTTGTCATTTTTATTTATTTTCATTTTATTTAAATTTTAGTAATTTTCTTATGTGCATTTGTCATTCTCATTTATTTTCATTTTATTAATTTTAGTAAATTTCTTTTGTGCATTTGTCATTTTTATTTATTTTCATTTTATTTAAATTTTAGTAATTTTCTTATGTGCATTTGTCATTCTCATTTATTTTCATTTTATTAATTTTAGTAAATTTCTTTTGTGCATTTGTCATTTTTATTTATTTTCATTTTATTTAAATTTTAGTAATTTTCTTATGTGCATTTGTCATTCTCATTTATTTTCATTTTATTAATTTTAGTAAATTTCTTTTGTGCATTTGTCATTTTTATTTATTTTCATTTTATTTAAATTTTAGTAATTTTCTTATGTGCATTTGTCATTCTCATTTATTTTCATTTTATTAATTTTAGTAAATTTCTTTTGTGCATTTGTCATTTTTATTTATTTTCATTTTATTTAAATTTTAGTAATTTTCTTATGTGCATTTGTCATTCTCATTTATTTTCATTTTATTAATTTTAGTAAATTTCTTTTGTGCATTTGTCATTTTTATTTATTTTCATTTTATTTAAATTTTAGTAATTTTCTTATGTGCATTTGTCATTCTCATTTATTTTCATTTTATTAATTTTAGTAAATTTCTTTTGTGCATTTGTCATTTTTATTTATTTTCATTTTATTTAAATTTTAGTAATTTTCTTATGTGCATTTGTCATTCTCATTTATTTTTATTTTATTTAAATTTTAGTAAATTTCTTATGTGCATTTGTAATTTTTATTTATTTTCATTTTATTTAAATTTTTGTAATTTTCTTATGTGCATTTGTCATTCTCATTTATTTTCATTTTATTTAAATTTTAGTAAATTTCTTTTGTGCATTTGTCATTTTT